GGCAGGTAAATGAACTTGCATGAATGACGTGTTTTTCTAGTCTTTGTAACCTCTCAAAGCACTTTACAACACAAGCATTCACCCATTCACACACACACGTTCATACACTAGTGGCAGAGGCTTTTCGGGGTTCAGTATGTTGCCCAAAGACACTTTGACATGTAGACTGCAGGAGCGAGGGATCGAACCTCAGACAGCTCTACCTCCTGAGGTATCTAATAGTTATTTTTGCCCCTAAATTTGCATATGGCCCTAGATATATTTGGCTTTAACTAAAATGTGTCAACAACTGTCTGATGGATTGCCATGAAATTTGATACAGATGGTTCAAGATACCCACAGGATGAATATCTCTTTGATTAAATTAAAAGAGTAGAATATTAATTTCAGATTTACAACACATGAGCGATTGAGCCGTTAAGTCTTTACTTATTTACTTCCAATCTAAACTGCATCATTTCATTAAGACCTTATTAAACATAAGCCAATAAACTCATCCCTCCTTGCAAACACTAAGCAACGGGCTGAAGATTAAAGCAATTTTGTGTTCTAGAGGTGCATTAGAAACTAGTTTTAGCGCATTGCATACAGACAAAGGAGCACAAAAGAGCTCATCCTGGGGCAGTAACTTGCTGTGGACATGATGAACACGGGTCAGATGTGGTGGCTCGTCCTGATCTAACCCGCACATTAAACACAGAGTCCACTCAGAAGTTTTGTGTGTTTTGTGTGTTCTGTCACCTCAAATACACTCACTGTGTCTGCTCTCTGGTGCTTTCACAAGCTTCTTCGCCTGCTCCGCTTCATTTCTGCTTCTAGATTTTGCTTTAAGTTTTCGTTGCCTTTGATGTCTGGGAGGTGAAGCTTTGCGTGGCCACGTCACATGAATGTTTTCTGGATATTCTCAGAAGCTTTTACGACTGAATACAGATCCGTCTCAAGTGCCGTTCACACCCACATGAACCTAGTTCTCTTCAGCTGCAGGAATGTATCTATGTAGGTCACCTTTGACACTCTTTTATCTCCCGGCCAATGATTCTCCTGAGTTATCTAATGAAAGGGAAACGGTTGACAGACAGACATCTTTCAGCCACTTATGAGCTCAGACAGAGGCAGGAATCCTCGGACAAAGCACTTCTGCTTGTATCACGGACTAAAAATGTTTTCTTCTTGCTGCATTACAGCCCCCAGGTAGCTGCCAGACCAGCTGACTCATCTTTGAAAACATGTTTTTTTCCAGATGACCTCTATATGATTTATATCCTGTGCATCCTGAGACTCATAAAACAGTAACAGAACAGATTTATTTATTACAAATACAATACAAATCTAACTAATGTCTAATATATACTGTTAGATGCACATAATGTTCGAGGTAAACTAATATATTTGGGACTCTTTCATGCTGTAAAGAGTTAATCTGATCCATATTAAGAGCTTTGTAAACCAAGTGTCAAGTCTTAAAATTGATGCTGAGATATTGATAGAGATATTTGAGGGATCACTGTGGTCTGTTTTTCCTCCTGGTTTTCTTTTAATTGCCTGAAAAGAGCTTTAAACCGTCCAGGTTAGAGCAAGTTATCAGGAGTCAAAGTTTGAAAGTATTTTAGTAATATGAATGACAGAATGACTCAGTGACAGTAAAACACTAAAACTTGAAGGCAGCATTGATGATATCTCCTGTAATCGATTGACTGAACATTAATCAATTACAATTCTACTAATAAATCAGTTATTAATCAACATTTTGTTGTCCTCTTCTGCTTTAATAAATAAAACTATCAATTGTCAAGGAAAAATAAATAGTAGTGTGTCATCTGCATATCGTTACTTGTAGTCGTTTTAAAACCAGTAATTCCTTTGGAAAGAAATCCAAACAATTTCGCCGGAAAATGCTTTAGAAAGTTGGAGGTCTTCCCAGTGCATGTGGTGCAATTTCTGCTGAATCGATGCCTTTGTGGTCTGAGGATTAAGAAGACTTGATAGGGAAATAGGGCTCTGATTTAATTTCACATCAGAAGTCAGATGTGGTTCATAATATGTGAGGTTTCACACAGCTGAGCCCTCACAGAGGGAGCAGATCGTTACCCTCTAACCCGGGGGATTTGTGAAGAGAGAGCTCCAGAGCAGCACAGTGGTGCTTTGATCCAGACGCTAACGTCGGCATGCTCACAGTGACAATGCTAACATGCTGATGTTCAGCTGCATGTATAGAGAGACCTGAATTCGTAAAACGTATTTTCTTTTGCGTGTCAAGAAATTCGCAGTGAAAGGTCTACTTAGTGCATCTTACTAGTTTTAAAGTGTCACTGACACACTTCTAAATGCAGCACAAATGACATGATACGTGTGGAAATTAAGAAAACTACAATGACAGGCGTGGTAAGACAGATTTAACGTCATCTGTCACAGTAATGGATCAGGAGATCAATTTCAGCGAGACCTCTGGTTGGTTGATTCCACTCCGAGTTCACTCACTGGAGGATGAGGTTGGTGGGATTTAGTGTGAGAAGAAGAAGTGAGGTGTGTTTTTGGAAAGCTTGTAAATTAAACGTTATTGTCGACATGTGTGGGGGGTGAAATACACAGATTTATTATTTTGTGAATGTTCTGCAGCGTTACCTGCCCCATAGCTAACGCCTGAAACAAAGTCTTCACTTTTTATTAAACATAAAAAAATAAAAAATGCAAAGTATATAAATGAACAGATACATTTAAAAATAAATGATTTAAACTCAACCTCATTATTTAAAAAATGTATATTATTATTATATTATTCTTAATGACACTTTATAGCATCACCCTTTTATTTCATGTACTTTGTTATTGACAGTGGTGTTTGTCAACAGTTTCGTCTCCCTGACTTTTTAGCCAATCACATGCCCCCCTCAACAATATGACCAACTTATACTACACAATATGTCACAAACACACACATACATATGCACAGAGAGAAGTCCTCACACACACACACACACACACACACACACACACACACACTCTCACAAAGGCATTTAGTAAAACGTGTTTTTAAAAGCTGATTTCACTCTAAGCTAAGAGCTGAAATGAGCTTTAAAATGCAGATTTAAAAACCCATGTTGGATTACAGAATACTCAAGTGGCTAAGAGTAGAAATAAAAGACCCAACGTGAGCCTTAATGTCACAAACCGCAGTTTGACTGGTCAACTCTTCGTTATTGTCTGACGCACAGAGATCATTTGCCTCTTTAACCTACAAATAAAACAAAAAGCAAACAAATCGAAATAAGGAGTTCACGTTGGTCGTTAAAGTCATTTTAAAGGTCTTTTCAAGTCGTGAGTAAAGAGGTGTGTAAAGCGTTTGGGAGTTTTGAATGTGTTGTGTTCAGGTATCGACAGGAAGCTGATGAAGACTAATCCTTCCTGCAAACGACATCAAAATTCACATGCTGTCTAATCCAATTTGACGGGCAGCGGCGTCTTTAGGGGAGCAGTCCGTCGTTCAAAGGATTATGTGCTGCGTGAGAGCCGTTTGGCTGGCATGTGACTCTCCTCTTTGCTTTAAAGATTAGTGTATAATGCTGCTGCGGCTCGGGGAATTGAAAGAGACGACTTGATTGTGTGGCTTTCACCAACGAGCTGCAGGACGTCCCATACATCTGGCTCTTTCACAACTTGTGAAGCCATTTAAATGCAGTTGTACTTTTAAATGTCCCATTATGAGAAGTGCTGAGTAAAATATGATGCCTCAAAATATGAACGTAAATTCAAGGCTTTGATTAAAGAGGAAGGGCTCACAGCGCAGACTTAATCCTAAAAAAGGAGGGCCACATTAAAACTGATATGGCTGCCTGTGGTTTTACAGTCAGAAACTGTAATGAAACTGGTTTTTAAATCATTATGGCTCAAAAACGTAGACAGTAGATGTCATAAATGGTCATTAAATTGAGATTTAATGCTATCAACATATTCATTTGACTAAAACAAGCAGTGGAGTATATGTTGCAAAGCGTAAACAGCCTGAGTAAATGAGTCAAATTTAACAACATGATGCTTCATCCACACTCTCTTGTCACGAAGCATATTGATGATTGGAGCAGATTTACTGCCCACTGCCATGCTGACTCACCGTCCCCAGCTCCTCCTCCCACTGCCGGCTTATATGTCCAAGAGCCGTCTTTTGGTTTTAATCAAACATTTATTCTCCGTTAAGAATTGTGTAATGTCACTCCACACTTCTGACCCGCAAACCACAAAGCAGGTAAAAGTATTGAATCATGACGTCACTGAAAACAGTGTCGGATGATTGTTAACCTTGTTAAGCTCAAGATAAGAGCGCGTGTCATTACGTTGCTGATCCTGAACGCTGTGGAGGATGCAATCGGCTCTGATTTCACCCTGAGTAGGATTTAAAATAGACTACGTTCTTGCTTCAGTATGACATCATTAGAAGAAGTCTGCATAGCAACTGGAACTCACAAATGAATTAAACACCTCAATGAAAGACCTCTTTAGGGAGTATTCTAGTGTGTTTGTATTCTCCTAATATACAACGGCAAACGTGCTTTGTATGAGATGTACAGCTGCCTGGATCACATTTGGTTGTTGATATAGCATCATGTCTGTCAAGACACATACTGAATGTATCACTGACGACATATTTCATTTGTTTTTACATCAATATTCATGTTCCAAACAACAACAATTGGGAGAGCAAATTAAATCTTGCCCGTATCACACAGTGTGAGACGGTCAAAAGCTTCAAATACCAAAATGTCATATTCTAAGTCTTCCAGCGGGAAACCAAATCAAATCCTCCAGTTCTCCATCTTTGCTCCTGTGACGATTTTACAGCTACTCATGAAATACCAAATGATGGAACATTTCAACACTCTAATTTGATTCATTAACAATCTACTATTCATTTTGTTGTCATCATAACTACATAATGTTTCCGTGAGCAGCTGTGCGTGAAGAAGACTCTGCTCCACGTCTGCTAGCTGGTGCTTCTGTGTTTTCAGGTGACGGGAACCCCAAAGAGAGCAGTCCTTTCATCAACAGCAGTGCGGCCGGAGACGCGGACAAGAGCCAGCAGTATGACGGCAAGAACATGGCTCTGTTTGAGGTGGGGGTCGTTTTCAACAACATGAAACCTAGAGTTTTCATGTCACTCAGAGATATCTTATATAACTGTGTGTTTCTGTTCCCTGCAGGAGGAGATGGATACCAGTCCAATGGTCTCCTCTTTGCTCAGCAGTCTGGCCAACTACTCCAACCTGCCGACGGGCAGCAAAGAGCACGAGGAGGCCGAGAATAACGAGGAGGGGGCACGTCCGTCTAAAAAGCCTGTCAAGGTAGAGTCCTGCGTGTGATCCGTTCATTCCAAAAATATCATGAAACTAACAGTTTAGTAAACACGTCCTTATGGGTGCACACCATACACTGTATATAAGAAGTGGACGTAGTCACTGTGACGTCACCCGTCACCCACAGTTTTGAAGCCTCGAGTTTGACATTATGGACGTCGCCATCTTGGTTTTTGGTCGTCTCCATCTTGGGGTTTTTTGCAACCAGAAGTGTCATAAGAAGGTGGAGTTAAGTACAACTGGAACGCAAAATAAGACATTTTTAGACGACCAAAAATATACATACAGAATTTTGAGGACTGTAACTCTCAGCAACAAAAAAAGAGATCTATGGATACATGTATGTAGCTATTTATTGTGCAAACTATACTGAATTGGTCGCTGCCAGCCAACAGATTCGCCGATAAACATTTATCTTCTTACTTCTCTGCAGCTCAGAGGAAATAGACCCTTTTCAATCGAACAAAGAGCTTGTCGTCTTCTCTTTGTGTTTGAAAAGAATAAACCCCTTTCTTTCTAATGAAATAGTTGGACCTCATTTCATTAATGAAATTCCCCGATTATAACCCCCGTTTTTTAATCCATGTAGACTGAAAACTAAGACACAAAAACGTTGACTAATCGCTTTCCTTGTTTGTGCTTCTCAGGCTCCACAGCTGGGCACTCTGATGGGCGTGTACTTGCCGTGCATCCAGAACATTTTTGGGGTGATCCTCTTCCTGCGGATGACTTGGATGGTCGGGGTCGGAGGCGTCTTCGGCTCCTTCATAATCGTCTTCATGTGTTGCTCCACGGTGAGTGAAACTGTAAATCTGCTGTTGCATATTTGTTGGGGAACGTGACGGCTCTTTGGTCAATCAGAAAACAAATGTATTAAAATATGCGTGGTTCATTTATTGCAGGCCAATAGAGCTGTAAACATCCATCCACCAAATACATCTTAAAGTGGTTCCTCAGCACACATACCCTTTTTTATGTTTTTAATTTTATTTTATTTGTGACATATGGCAAGGTTTTTTATTATTATTACTTTTGTAAAGATAAAGGAGTGGCATACCAATAGGAAGGTTTTGCTGATTATTCTTTTTTTGTTTTGTCTTTTTATTTGCAAAAATAAAGATGAAGGAATGACATACAGATGGGAAGGTTTTTTTATTTTTACTTTTTTTATTTTACTGAGAAAAAGTGCATAAAAGCATTTGAGGCTTTCATGGCGGCAGCAATAACAGAAACAAACACAAGGACTGTCTGTTGAAAGGAGAAACAAACGTGAGGATAAATGAGTAAAGAAATACATAAATGAAAAAGAGGAAGAAAGAAATTTCAACAAATCATAATGCGACAGTAATAATATTCTTCTAATAGTCTGTTTCTGTGTGTGTTTCCACTTGAATGTGTGTTTGCAATAGAAATATGTTGATTTAAAAACAGATTATATCAATGAACTTTTGACCCTTAAAAGCTCAGCCGGTCCCTTTAGATTAGCCCACCAAACCCTTTTAGTTGTTCCAGACTGAAATCCAACGTTGATCGTCCATTTTCGATTATGGCGCCTCGTCTTTGGAGCAGCCGTCCGCTCACTGTGAGATCGACAAACTCCACCGCAGCTTGTAACTGCCTCCTTAAAACGGACTTTTACAAGACGGCCTACGATTAACAACGTGTTCCTTTTCCATTATCGCATCACTTCATATTTTCTCTTTAGATTACTATTTTATGGTGTTTTATTTGAACTTTATTGTCATTACATATTTAAATTGTGCTTGTTTCAGCACATTATCAAAGCATTTCCTTAGATTTGGCGTTTTTATCTGTTTTGAATCCAAGAGTTTGTTCTTTTATTTGCATTCTACCAGTTTTATAAGGAATCACTTCTGATATTTGCATCTTATTTGTTTATATATCTGGTTATTGCCTAAACTTACATTTCACCATTTCACCTGCTTTATGTGAGCTCATTTCCGTCATCTACCTTTTTTTTCTACTTGCACTTCTCTGTTTTTGTATGGGCTCAATGCTGCTTGATGTGCTCTCATTTAAAAATGATCATAATCATTAAACTACAGACTGTTATAATATATAACAGGCTGTATAATTATAATTTGCATTGCACAGCTGCTGAAGGTGACATAATAAAACCTGGCATAAGGCGTTCTGCCAATAAACCCACGAACACCACCACCATCATTCCCCCTGTTGGAATCTGTCATTTTGCTGCTCCGTCACCGACCAACAGGTTACAAATACTAGGAGCTGACCTCAAACGTGCCCTGTGTGGGATTTGGTGACATCTAGCCAGGCTGCAGATTGCAACCAGGTGAAACTTCCGCTGGTGGCCGACGGGAAAACATGAAAACGCAAATGACCCGATCTATAGCCAGTTGTTGTACGAGTATGTTGAAGTGGAAGTTTCAGTTTGTGCAGAAATAAATGCTGCAGCTGCTCAAGACCAGCAGAGGTCTCGTGTTTTGTTTTTCGTCCCTGGAGACCAAAATCACGGCGTCCCTCGTGTGTTTTTCCGAACTCAGTCGGGGAAGCCGAAGCAGTTTGGTTTGTCCGTTCTGGGCTACTGTAGAAACATGGCGGCCGGCTCTGTATGGAGATATCAACAGATCATTTTATGGTGACAAAAACACAAATATTCTTATTTTCAGGTGATTATAGATTGAAGAAAACATGCTTATTGATGTTTTATTCCATTTCTGCTAATAATCTCTCTAAATGCTGCACAATGTTCCTTAGAAGGTGACTATTAAAATAGGGCTCATTTTTGGTCTCAGTTGACTGAAATTCCTTTAGTCTGTTTGTCATTATTTATGCTTTTATGACACTAAATGACTTATTGAGACACTCAAGAGCACATCTCTGGTAAACACAACCTTGAAAGTATAGCTTTTTGTGTGATTTTTTGTGGAGTAATGCAGTTTTACAGATCTGTCGATTAAATCAAGTAACGGATCAGTCCTAATTATTATCCTAAGATGTATTCTAAACGTCCTCTGTTGTGCTTTTTCCAGACGATGCTCACAGCCATCTCCATGAGTGCCATTGCAACAAATGGAGTGGTACCAGGTGAGTGGATATCTGAGAGGAGATGAATTGGTGTGTTTGAGTGTGAGAAAACACAAACCGACTCTTCTGTGTGTTTGTGACTCTCAGCTGGAGGTTCATATTACATGATCTCTCGCTCTCTGGGGCCCGAGTTCGGTGGAGCTGTTGGGATCTGCTTCTACTTGGGCACCACTTTTGCAGGAGCCATGTACATTCTGGGCTGCATTGAAATTCTGCTGGTGAGTAGAATATTGTCTTTACAGCCTTAAATATTGTCTATAGTTTGTCTATAGTCCTATTTAATTATCATTTCCTCGTGCCTCCACCCTTCTCCACCACACCTTGCCTTTTTTTCGCCTCCCTTTACTTTCCCTTTCTCCCTCCGTCTTTCCATTCCTTCAGATTTATATCATCCCCCAGGCAGCCATCTTTAAGATCGAGGGCCTGGAGGGCCAGGAGGCAGAGTTGGCTCTCCTCAACAACATGCGGGTGTACGGCACCATTGTGCTGAGCTTCATGGTGCTGGTGGTGTTTGTCGGGGTCAGATATGTGAACAAGCTGGCGCTGGTCTTCCTGGCCTGTGTCATCCTCTCCATCGTGGCTGTTTACGCCGGAGTCATCAAGACCGCCATCGACCCCCCCGTCTTCCCGTAAGTGACTTGCTCATTCACCTCTCAGAGTCTCCCGGAGGTGATCCGAGGAATGTGGCGATGACGTGCCGACTTTCTCAACAGCGTCTGCGTCCTGGGAAACCGAACACTCCTCTCCAAAGGATACGACGTCTGCGCAAAGGTCGTCGAGATAGACAATGAAACCGTCACCACCAAACTGTGGAGGACCTTCTGTGATTCTGAGACTCTCAATGCCACTTGTGACGAATACTTCACCAACAACAACGTCACAGAGATACAGGGCATCCCGGGGGTCAGTAGTGGCATCCTGGCAGGTAAGCGATGCCTGATCAATAACACCCTCTACCAATCATCAGGATGAGGATCAATCCACCGCACATGCTCAATTAAATGTCCCTCTGTCTTTTAGAGAACCTGTTTGGGAACTACCTAGAAAAAGGGATGTTCCTGGAGAAGCGTGGGCTCGCATCAGTAGTGAATACAGACAATCCGCCGACCAGCACGAACCGCTACGTCCTGGCTGACATCACCAGCTTCTTCACCCTGCTGGTCGGGATATACTTCCCATCTGTCACAGGTGAGCAGCAGAAGAGGAAGTCCTCGCCCGATTGAGGGGCTGTCTTTAGCTTTAAAGCTGCTCGAATCTGTATTTTTAGATTAAATGGAAATCCTTAAGGTTTCAGTCCTGGTTGATTTAGAATTTCTATGAAACTGTGCTTTGAGTTTAGCAGTCTGGGGTCCAGAATCCAGTTTGTAATACTACACATGTATATATATTGCAATATTTTCATCATTGTCAACAAACACCATTGTGTTACCTTTTTGGTGATAGATATAGTGACTTAACATCTTCAAGATTACCACGTAAACAACGGATTCGACGTAATGTGATCGAGGTAGAGATGAACCGTTAAAGAACAATTATTCTTTGGGCCTTTTCTACTTTACTTGCTAGTGAGAGATACAGACATTGAAGTTGAAAGAGGGGATGACACGCAGCAAAAAGACCCGAGGGCAAGACTTCAACTGGGGCGGCTGCATTAAGGACTTAGACTTGATACTAAGCGCTCAAACCGGAGATCTACACTGTAATCAGGCCCGTTTCAAGAGGCAGCAGGGAGATTTCCAGGGGAAAAAATCCATCAGTTATTGGAGCTTTAAGATCATGAGGAAAGTTATTATCGTCACTTCCTGCTGTGCTGACTTTGGTGGTAAAAGGCCGGAGCTTAGATGCCGAACGTCAACGCTGCACATTTTCTGCATTCACATATAATCTATTCCAAATAAATTTTGCAGCTGTACCATCTTTTCATGAGCGGATCCGTCTGCGCTGCAGAACCAGATTACTGCTGATGCTGGTGATGTGACTAGAGAGAAAGGAAGAATAGATATTACCTCTCCCTGCTGGTTGTCAGAGCACAAAGCTCCTGATTGTTTCATCTTGCTCCACTCACAGGGATCATGGCGGGCTCCAACCGCTCTGGAGACCTGCGTGATGCTCAGAAGTCGATCCCCATCGGCACCATTGCAGCCATCACCACCACGTCTATTGTGTGTATCCTTCACTGAGCTCAACCTGCTGGTTTTACATAAACCTTTGGCACGTGATATGGATCAAACATCTCCAATGATACATTTCTTGACAGCTTGTCCCCAGACATGTCCACTGTTGTGCTGTTTGGAGCCTGTATAGAAGGAGTCGTCCTCAGGGACAAGTGAGTCTTATGATGTAGATTTGTGTAAATGCTGTCGTGGTAATATTGTGATCCCACTCTGACAATGAGCACCAGTTGTAAAAACATCAATAAAGTCATAGCTCAACAATGAGTTGAAACCGATTATAAATAGAAGCCATATGCCATAATAATGTTTATTTAGGAACTCTTCACATGGTTCTTGTTTTAAGATGAGTCGGCGGAAACATTAAAAGATCAGCCCGAGACATTGTTTTTACCAACAAGTGTTTACAGCCGATGAATAGCTAGCGTTAGCTGCTAGAAAATGAAAAGTTCAGGGAACAAAATCGACGGTCGCCAGGTAGAAATGAGAAGCCTGCTTTTCTTTTCTTTTTTACCTCTGTCCGAAATAAAGGACCAACTGTTCATATATCCACTTATATATATCAGTTTGAAAACATTCAAAAGACGTTAGTTTATCTGAATGAATGGTCAACAAGTCAGTGTTTGTTATTGCAGCTTCTGAGTGTTTAGTCTTCTCTCTCCACAGGTTTGGTGAAGGGGTCAATGGTAACCTGGTGATTGGGACTCTGGCATGGCCGTCTCCGTGGGTCATTGTGTTCGGCTCCTTCTTCTCTACCTGCGGAGCCGGACTCCAGAGTCTGACCGGAGCTCCACGGCTCCTGCAGGCCATCTCTCGAGACGGCATCATCCCATTTCTTAGAGTGTGTACACATGTCGCACTAAAATGTGTCTTTATTATTTTTTTTAAACGCATCAGCGAGCTGCAGAGAATGTTAATATTTTTAAAGGCAAACTCAAGGCCTACTTTTTTAATCTGGCTTTAAATTGAGCTTTATTTATTTATCTTCCAAAAGATTTATTTAAGTACACCTTTTTAGTTTAGTAGTGTGTTTGATTCAAATCTTTCTGTCGCTTTAGGCTGCAGAAAAAACACGATCATCACATTAATAGATTATTAAAATCCCATAATTTATTTGTACAGCGCGTACTGTCCAAGGAGGTGCAATGAAACTTGATTTAATTCAATCCTTTCATGTTGCTGCAGGTGTTTGGGCACGGCAAGGCCAACGGGGAGCCCACCTGGGCCCTTCTGCTCACAGCTTGCATCTGTGAGATTGGCATCATCATCGCCTCCCTGGATGCAGTCGCACCCATCCTCTCCATGTGAGCACATCACACACACACACACACACACACACACACACTATGTTCATTGTTGTGCGGGCTGTCTTTTTATTTTTATTTTCTCCTCCTCTCTCTTTAGGTTCTTCTTGATGTGCTACATGTTTGTCAATCTGGCCTGTGCCCTGCAGACTTTGCTGAGGACGCCAAACTGGAGGCCGCGCTTTAAGTTCTACCACTGGTGAGTGTGTGGGGTCAGTGTAAGAAAACCTAACATATGCTGTAATGCCTGCTTTGGATTGTAATCAAAGTAACAGCATCATGCGAAATGACGATATTCACCAGAGCTGTGTGCACCTGGATCACCATGGGGAGCTAAACCCATGCTGTCTGTACTCCAGCATTAAATACAAACCAGTTTATTTACAAGCTGTGGTCATTGTTGAGTTCCAACCAGCAGTGTGAAGCTGGCAGAAATTATTTAGAACAAACATGTGATGTCCTGTCTCCTGCAGGGCTCTGTCTTTCTTGGGTATGAGCCTGTGCCTGTCACTCATGTTCATCTGCTCTTGGTATTACGCCATCATCGCCATGGGCATCGCCACCTGCATCTACAAATACATTGAGTTCTGCGGGTAAGTAATCATAGTAGGTACGATTGAATCACAGCAACCAACTTAAGTTGTCACCCAGTTTGTATTCTTTGCAGTGCATCCACTTATTCTGCCAGTGGCTATTGTTTCAGCTCAATTGGGCTTGTTTTTGTTTAATGTGCTGTGTCACAGTGCGGAGAAGGAGTGGGGCGATGGGATACGTGGCATCTCTCTGAGCGCTGCACGCTTTGCTCTCATGAGGCTGGAGGAAGGACCGCCACACACCAAGAACTGGAGGTCAGTCCACAAAAACAGTGCTTGTATCACCGGTTGAATTTTAAAACACCATTTCTTTACCATACTGAGATGAGATGGTCTTTTACTTGGTGCTTTGCTTTTTTTTTTCGTCAGGCCTCAGATCCTGGTTCTGGTGAGCGTGGACGAGGAGCAGAACGTAGAGCAGCCTCGTCTGCTCTCTCTGGCCAATCAGCTGAAAGCAGGGAAGGGTCTGACCATCGTCGGCACCTCAGTTCAAGGAACCTTCCTGGACAACTACACGGAGGCCCAGAGGGCAGATCAGGTTCATCCTCTAATCTCTGACGCATGCACTTTGACTTGTGATAGAAACACAGTGGATTAATATCACTCGTCGCTCATCACAGTTATTCACAGATGGCCGATGCTACCCTATGATTGGCCATTGTGCACTTGAAGGCGGGACTTAGCGAAAGCTCAATTTGGCTGAACTTTTACCCAGATTTTGTGATGTCCGACAGAAAGGGTGAAACGAGTAAAACAGTCTGTGGGACAGATGGTGCACCAATGCACTAAAATGATACACTTCATATCTTCACTGTAGACTGATATTTACAGAAGTAGGAGAAGATATCTGCCAGCTGTGATTAGTTGTTCCTCGTCACATGACGTGCGGCACACGCTACAGCTGTCAGGACTGTGACAGCTGTCTTCTGCTCTCTGTGCATTTGCAGTCTTTGCGTAAGTTGATGGAGACGGAGAAGGTGAAGGGTTTCTCTCAGGTGGTCATCTCCTCCAATCTGAGAGATGGGACGTCCCACCTGATCCAGGTTGGAGGACTGGGAGGTCTGAAGCACAACACTGTGTTGGTCAGCTGGCCCCGAAACTGGAAACAGCCTGAGTACCACCAGCAGTTTAGGAACTTTATTGGTAAGTCTTAAACACTGGTAAAATAATAAATGTCTTAGATATTATTTAATGAATCTGATTATCCTGGTTATTGAGCATGTATGACTTAAAGTGGTTTGTTCACAAAACAATGCATTGCTCTTTAAAGTTACTGTGAGGAACTTTTAACTGATTATGAAACAGTCTCAATTTAATACTGATGCCTCTAAATGACCTGAGAAGATGGGCTGTTTCTAAAGCCTCAATGATGCATTATTTATATACAATTAACACCGTCACCAGAGAAATCATATTTTTCCTGTGTAGATGAATTAAACAAGGTGAGGTAACCCTTTCCCAGGCCCTTCATTGTACTTTATACCAAATCCACTGTGTCCTCCGCAGAGGTGGTCCGAGAGACGACTGTAGCCAGTCTGGCCTTGTTGGTTCCTAAGAATATCTCCAGCTACCCGTCCAACGGAGAACGCTTCACCGAAGGCCACATAGACGTGTGGTGGATTGTCCACGATGGAGGCATGTTGATGCTGCTGCCCTTCCTGCTGCGACAGCATAAGGTGGGAAACAAAGACACACAGAAACATTCTTTACATTCGAGATTGTTTGATGTGATTTACATGTTACAAAGGGCACAGTGTCGAGGTTTAAAAAAGAACATGTTGTTCATCGGCTGTGAATGTTCCTGTTTTCAGGTGTGGAGGAAGTGCAAGATGCGCATTTTCACTGTGGCTCAGATGGATGACAATAGTATCCAGATGAAGAAAGACCTCATCACCTTCCTCTATCACCTGCGCATCGAAGCTGCGGTGGAAGTGGTGGAGATGGTGAGAGACTCGTCTGACACATAATCGGAGTTCACAAACAAGAAGGAAGCCAAGAGGAGAGGATTATCATTATATCTTTATTTGATCAGGCTATCCCATTGAGATCAGAGGGATAGTTTGGGTCTTTTGATGTGAGGTTATAAGGGTGATGATGAATGATGATGATGAAAAATAGCTTTGTCTTGAGATGAACCCAGATTTGTTTCATCCATAGAACTAAACTTTCTTTCATGTTATGACTCCTGTTTCAGGACTTGACTGTATGATAAATGAACAAATGTATTCGTCTCTTTAAAGCATGACGGTGACATCTCAGCCTACACCTACGAGAAGACACTGGTAATGGAACAACGGTCACAGATCCTCAAACAGATGCATCTGACCAAGAACGAGAAGGAGAGAGAGGTAAAGCAGTAAAGTTCGTACTACACTTAACTGGAGGAACCTTGATGCCTAAAGAAGGCGTGTGTCATTTTAAAACCCCTTTTACCGAATGGTGCGCATAGAAGACCATGAACGTTCTCATTATCTCTCTGTGCGCTCCAAATATCAGCTCTCAGGCAGGGAATTGATTTATAATAAGGTGTTGTTGTCTGGACTTGTTTTTACTGATCTGAGGGAAGTGAGAATGAATTCTAGAGGGAAATTAAAACTAGTTCAATCCTTTCATTTTTATAACTATAGATCCAGAGCATTACAGATTCATCCCGTGGGTCCATTCGGCGTAAAAACCCGCCTGCCTCGCGCTCCCGGCACAGCGTGGACGAAGCAGCCAGCGTGGCAGAACAACCAGAAGATGAGGTAATGCTGCCACGGTCCATTTTAGGATCAAATAACTTGTCCCTCTTGTTCTCCGGCTGAATCTGCTGTCATTGATTGATCTCGTCACGAGTGGCCGCTGGGTTTCTTCCACACTGATGAGTGTCTCTTTTCTCTCTTTCACTGTCACGTCGCGGTGTCTGTCTCTCAGTCTGTGGCTGTCTCCAACCCAAAACAGGTGCAGCTCATCCACAGTAAGAACGCCTCCGCACCAACCAGCCCCACGAGCCCCACGTCTGGCGCCGCCACGTGGACGGACAACACGGGCGCAGAGAAAGGGAAGACCCCTTTGGCAGCAAACCCGGAGGCCGGCAAAGACCTCTTCAACATGAAGCCGTGAGTGACCTGTCAGTTCTCTGCTCAGCACCCAGCACAGGAAGCAGACATGACACATGACATGCACACGTGGGTCAGTGGAAAATATTTGTGTGTATCGACCCAGTCCCAATCTCTACACTCACTGACTTTGAGGTGCGCTCCCATAAAGTCTTTGTGTTTGAGGGCTCTCTGGCAGACCTTTTGAGCCCTTTATTAACCCTTTGCGTAAGTCAGCATTAGCATGGAGACATTCACATTCAGCCTGGAAAATTACATTTACTCCTTGAGGGTTCAGGGTTTAAGGCCTTAGGGGCGACATTGGGATTGTGCCTAAGACGCAAGGAAAAGACGCAAGTGAGCGAAACATGGATGCAATTAAGAGACTTGGGATGTACGCATTGGGTTCCTACACAACAAACGAACATTTGAACATTAACCGTTAAATAACACGGATCTTGTAAATGCACATGTCCTGTTGGTAATTAACTGTAATTATTTCCCCCCCTAACATGCTGCTACAGGGAGTGGGAGAACTTGTAAGTATTCTTCTTTTATTTTGGAGGAGGACGCACTGTGTGGACTGAGCAGCTGAGAGCCTGATTTGTGAACCAAAGAACTGATGTGGCCTTCTGTTTGTCGCATCAGGAGCCAGGTTGACGTGAGGCGGATGCACACAGCGATGCGGCTCAATGAGATCATCATAAAGAAGTCCAAGGAGGCAAAACTGGTCCTGCTCAACATGCCTGGACCCCCCAAGAACCGCATGGGCAACGAAAACTGTATCCTACATCATAAATACAATACAGTGCATTCAGATAGATCTGAATGTACTTCGCTCTGTTCAGTTCAGATCCTGCAGGTCCCACGATGGCCAAAGTCTTCTATCCCGATATCGGTCATCTCATGTCTCAATAACAATACATATCACATTATAGCATGTTTTCTGTTCATTACAGTCGATATGAAATAACCACATGGTAAAGCCTATATATTCTATATTCCTGTGTTAAATACTTGACAAATGAGAAGTGTTTTATCATTTAATTAAGAACATTTGTGCAAAGCGAACATAAACAGCTTAGAGAAGTTATAGAGACATAAATAAGTATTTCCATAAATCCCATTGAACGAGTGGAAATGTAACGTGTGATGAAAATACAAAACCGTAATCTTCAAATTAAAGTCCCTCAAAATATTTCACATCAGATATCTGCTCGTTATTATCGACGTTATTGTGTATCATGAGTATATCACTCAAATATGAAATAAATTATCGTATCGAATTATCGCCCAGCCCTAGAGCAAGGCAGCATAGAAGCCTAAACACAATAAAAACACTATCAGAGAACTGAAGACATTAGACGTGCTGATACTACATATGCAATACAGAATAGTATTGAAGGCTCAGGTGATAAAAGCAAAGAAAAACTGCAACAATAAGAATATAAATTATGCAGTTTATCGTTTATTAGACGTAAGAGCTGTTTGAGCTTTTGTGAGATTTTACTGATAAAAATGTCAAAGACTAATGGCCCCTGTAACTAATACTGTATGTGAGGGCAGTGTACGAAATACAACTGGCTATCTGGGGGTCCCATGTCCCCTGATATCCCGATATTAGAAGTCAAGGTGGAGCTAGTATGAAATACTTACAGTATATACAGACACGTTATTGTAATGAAGAAACATACCGCTACAAATATCTGTTTTCATTTTTTAGACTAGAATCTTTGCTGTTTTTGTGAAATATTGGATCGTTTTTACGTGTTTGGATGTTGAACAGTTATTTAAATAAAAACATTTAAGAAGTTTAGAGGAGAAATCGCTCTCTCGTAGATGAAACGTGTGACACGGAACCTCGAATAGACACAGCTGGGACCTGATGGTTAAATTGTTTTTTATGTAAAATATATATATATACATACTTAAGGTAAAAGCAAAGGTAAGAAAACTACACTCCTTCACTGTGCTTGTCTCTCAGACATGGAGTTCCTTGAGGTGCTCACTGAAGGTCTCAATCGGGTCCTCCTGGTGCGTGGAGGTGGACGTGAGGTCATCACCATCTACTCCTGAAGGGGCTTTGAGGTGTTTCAGGGGCCCACACACACACACACACACACACACACACACACACACAGACTCTGCCCTCCATATTGTCCCCCCCACAACCTCACATATTCACCGTTACACCACATGAAGAATTGTGCAGCGGTCGACTCTCTGATCTCTGCCTGTCAGCTGATAACAGCAGATATATGTTTTTGCTTAGTTCTGACATTTTATTGCAAAACGAAACCCAAAGCGTCTCTTATTCTAAGAAAGAAAATGGAAAGTTCTCACTTATTTCTTTCCCTTTTCTGATTTGTTAAATCAACATTCTGTCCTTTTGCTTTTCTTCCTGTTCATTTGTCAAAGAGGATTTTTTTTTCTTCTTCTTTTAACTGTTATTTATTTATATTATTTATGTATTCAATTATCTAATCATGTCTGTCTTTGTCCTGGTCTAATTTTGCCTTTCATTGTATGGTTGGAAGCATACAGGTATTAATATTACAGACTTACAGGTAATGATATTTATTAACAGTGGAAATGGGTTCATTCACATTCATTAATTGGAGTATTGAAAAAGCAGAAGTACGAGCTGTAAATAGATTCACGACTAGTTTTATTATTCGTTATGTTTGTAAATAAAAGTCGGCATCAGATAGATTCATGTCAATGACATGTCATAAATTATATCGTAAACTATTTATTTTTCATATGGTGTGGTTCAGAAAAAACGTTTAGATCCATAAATATTCTGTATTTGATGCATGCTGAGTGCACCAGGATTAAAGGAGGACTTTGCTCGTTGGGTTTCTTGCAGAGAGTGATATAAGAAGATTGGTACCGCTCTCAGCCTCAGCCAGGAGACGCTTAGCTTAGCTTAGCATAAATACTGGAAACAGCTAGCATTGCTCTGTCCAAAGGTAACAAAATAAAGCTCACTAATTAATATGTTGTATCTCATTTGTTTAATTCTTACAAAAAACAGTGCTTTATTATCAAATATTTATTATAATGAGCCGATCATTAACTCATTAACACATTAAGCTGTTATTCTGTTAAGTTAACTGCTAACATGAGAGTCGTATCAACCTTCTCGTCTGACTCTCTGCAAGACAGCGAGTCAGCACATCTCCCAACATGTCCAACTACATCAAATGTAAATTTGCTGCTATACTAATGCACCCTGTTTAAAAATGTGAACGCTGTGATGTTGTGAACGCAAACATTTGCAGATAGTGAATAATGTATAAAAATGAAAGTATTTTGGAAGAATCTCAGAATGTTTGTATGAAACAGTTTTAAGATGATTTATTCATGGAGTCAGATTATCCTGCAGAGTGCTACCGCTCAGATGTTTAGTCTGTGGATGTTTAGTTTCTATTAGTGTGTGCTTTAGTCATTTTTGAGCATTTATTAACTCATGCACATGTGCTGTTTCGTCATAGATATTCACACCGAGTCTGCAAACATTTCAAAGGATATGACCAGTAAGAGTCGGCCACATGTACATTACATGTGCTTAGTTTATATAATATCTATATAGGCAACAAAGTGTTTGGTCATAATAGTTTATTATGGAAGTTTTTGTACAGTAAGTACACAGTCCTTTGATTTTATTCCCCTCTCCCCCGTTGCCCTATTAGTTCTGTGAAGTATTTCACTTAGAAAATTCTGCATCACTTGCAAAAAGCATTCAGTATCTTTTCCAGGAAATCATAAGACGTGTGAGTCAAATTTGTATTGTTTTCAACCCCGTAGCTCACCTCATCATATTGATACGTCCTCTTTGTGGTGAATATCTATGCAGCCCTCCGTGTTCCCCTTATACAGTAACTCTGAAAGGTGTGGGTGCAGAACATGAGCAGCAACGAACCTGTGTTTATGTTTGATTCATGAGAAGATGATGTGGCTCTACAGGTTGATGTATCGGTCACTGGTCTGCAGAAGTCATAATCTATAATGTGTGTGTGTGTGTTTGTGTGTGTGACACCTGATGCTTCTTTGTGTGTGGACGGTGTGTGTAACTCAACAGGAGGACAGAGTGAAGATGGGACATTTGTAAATAGGTGTGTGATTTTTAGGCTTAGAGATAACACGTGCAATGTGTGTCAACACGGGTTTTATAGATATAAAATAGTTTGTATTGTCTTTTAAAATGATGAACAAACTTTGTTTCATGTTCTGCCATGTCTTATGCAATGATGTACAAGTAATGGTTGAAAGAAACCATTTTATATGTCGGCAAAATGCAATAAACTAAAATCATTTTAATACAACAGTGACGGTTTGAGTGTTATGATGTTCTTACAGCGTCTGCTTATAGATTCATTGTTTTGCAATTGGATTTATGGTTTGAACTTTTGCAAATGTCGACTGTGTTTGCCTCTTTATCAGCATCTCTGATCTCAGATCACACTAGACACATATAGAACATCAAATATTAATTTAGCAACAAAGAAATTGTCTAACCGTGTTGTAAGACACAAACTGTTATATCAGTCTTCTGTTCTCACCTTAAAGGTTCAATAAATGTGACTCACAGCATTAAAGTGTAACTTCACCCGCTGCATCATTTTGAAAAAAAAGGTGTGCAAGGAGCTGAGGAGGGGGGAGTTGCTCAATGGGTGTTAACATTCTATTTTTGGATGTATTTCACGACGTAGACTCGTCCCAAAAGGTCGACTCTATCTCAAAATTGTCAATATTAACACCAGCATCGATGCATTTCATCACAGTACAGTTATATAATTTTATTTACTGCCTCAAAAAACATGCTTAAGTGTGCAGTTTCTCTTTATTATGGCAGCAAACAGCTGTTATCTACGCAAAGAGTATATAAAGTGGAGTAATGTCTACATGAGCAGAGAGTGAAGTCGATCTCCTTTTGTGTGTTGTAATCCGAGTTTTCTCCTTGTTCTGATGACATAGCTTTAGATGCATGCTTTTAGTGCATATTAGTGCACGTGAGCAAACCCCACTGGTGAGCTCACGCTCTGCACCGGCTCAGCCGTCGCCATGTTGAGAGCCGCCAAGAGGCAACAGAAACGCTCCCCATCTCGCAGACAGCTCCTTCGCTGATTGTGACATGCAAGTTGAAGCGTTTGTCATTGTGCATTTCATCATCATGTCCCGACTGATCGAAAGAGACGCTCACAGGTCAGCAAACGCTCTGTCCCAATGTTTTCCAAATGGAAATCAGCCAGCAGGATCAACACATGCCGACTTTTTATTATGCATATAAGTTTTTATAATGCATATTTTTATTGTGTGAATTATATTATATATTTCAGAAGTGTTACAAGTCTTATTACAGCAGCCCAAAGTCCACGCTGCAGCGTTATATAGCTTCTGTGTTTGAGAGAGCGAGACGGCAGGAACGAGGTCGATGTCTTTGACCCGTCTTATCTGAGCAGAGAAACCGCAGACTGCAGAAGAACTGATCGGCGTTCGTCCCAAAGAGCAGTCGGGATGAAGACGAAGTCGACCAGCCTTCGAGTGAGGTTACCTGTGTTTGTGTTTGTCACACAGGTGGTTGTCCTTGCATTGCATTGACTAACCCCATGGACAACGCGGTGTACAGGGACTACCCTGTTTTCACGGACATACAGGTCATGATATTCCTCGGCTTCGGGTGCCTGCTGGCGTTTTTTCCGACTCTACGGCTTTGGGGGGGGATGGTCTTTAACTTCCTCACGGCCACCTTCGCCATCCAGTGGGCCATCCTGGTGCAGGGCTACTTCCAGTTCAGCCACGAGGGTAAGATCCACCTCGGGGTGATCAACCTCATGAATGCAGAGTTCGCGTGCGCCGTGGTGCTGATATCCTTCGGCGCCGTGCTGGGGAGGACGAGTCCCCTGCAGCTGCTGGTCATGGCTCTGCTGAAGGTGCCGGTGTTTGCGTGCACCGAGTGGGCCGTGCTCAAGTATCTGAAGATCAACGACGCGGGAGGCTCCATTCTTATCCACCTGTTTGCCTGCTACTTTGGCTTTGGGTGTCTCGTTTGCGCTGTACAGGCCTTGCCTGAACGAAGGCCACGCGAAGGAGACCACCAGCTACCAGTCCGACATCCTGTCGGTGATGGGGACCTTGTTCCTCTGGGTGTTCTGGCCCTCCTTCAACTCAGCGTTGACCCTGAAAGGAGACGACCAGCACAGAGCCGACCTCCACACCTTCCTCGGCCTCAGCGCCTCCACGCTCACGGCCTTCGCTCTCTCGGCCATGCTGAACAAAGAAGGTAAGATCACCATGGCCAACGTTCAGAACGTGACCCTGGCTGGAGGCGTGACGGTCGGGGCGTCCGTGGATATGATGATCTCGCCCGCGGCTGCGTACGCTCTGGGCGCTCTGGGCTGCACCGCGTGCATGCTGGGCTACAGGTACTTGACCCCCTTCCTGGCCCGGCGCTTCCGGATCCAGGATCAGTGTGGAATACATCATTTGCACGACCTGACGGGACTTATATCCTGCGCTGCGGGGATATGTGCCATACTGATGGCTAGTGAGGAGATGTATGGCCCCAGTTTGTATGAGATCTTCACCCACAGGTCACCAATTGAGGGGGACCCGAAGCTGCGACAGCTCCAGATGTTGATCCCCGGTTTGAAGCCGGGGTTGGGGAGGACTGCCCGGGAGCAGGCTCTCTTCCAGGTCGCCGCTGTGTTCTCCACCATCGGAGTGTCGGCGCTGGGAGGCGTCCTCACGGGCTTCGTCTTGAAGCTGCTGTACCTCGCACCACCGCCCGATAACTTCTGCTTTGACGATGAGCTGTTTTTTGAGGTTCCTCCGGATTATGACTCACCACTTAAACTCCATAATAACACAATGGAGGGTTCTGCTGCCTGATATGCAGCAGCCAAGTGTGGTCAATGCATTTGACTGAGGAAGATGTGAATAAGCCTGTATTTGCCTTTATAAGTAATTTAATGTGCTACAATAACTAATTACATGTTTACATCCATGCCATGGTAAATATGAGTGCAGTGACACTGCACAGCACTCTTTGTCTGATGCAACCAGCAATGTTGTTATTTATTGTCCGACATGTAAACATAAAATGAAATTGAGTGATAGTTCTCTTGGTTAATTCGCCACAAGTTTTTAATGTGAAATAAACACTTTTTAAACCGTGTGCATTTTATCAAAATAGTAATTGTGTAAATAATTAAAGCTGTGAAGTCAACTAAAGTTTAAAAAATGTCGACATCCTTGAGATGCATCGTCTGGTTTTCATGGGACGTGAAAAAAACTTAAAAAAATAAATAACAACATTTTTTAAATGCACAGGAGCAAACAGGCTTAAATATCTATAACAAGCATCATCTACATGAAACTAATGAGGAATATCATTAACTGACAACTGCCAGACCAAATTATGTGAATAGTACTGAGAAATGAAACATATATACTGTTAAAGTCGTATAAACTTAATATTGATGTGGAAGCACATAAAAAAAGAACAAATGTTTTAAATTACATTTAAAGGTGTGTTTCAGAGGTCTGTAGCATTGATGATGTTAGCATCATTTAGAGCAGATAATAAAAGAGAGATGAGAGACCACTGACGTTTATTTTTCCTCATCACTAGATGGCGACCATGAGCCGTGAAACTAAACTGACGAGACTTGGTTCTCGCGAGGAAAGGCGAGATTTCAAAGCCTCAGGGTGTTCGTGCCCAGAGTATGGTCTGACAGGAGAGATGTTGTTGTTTGAGGCTAGCCCCTTTTGGAAGAGCGCTGGGCTTTAAAACTAACTTTACGTCGTGGACAAACAGTGGAATTACAATGTAATGTACTAACTGACGAATCTAGAGGTATTGTCCTTCCTCCGTTCATGTTAATGAATGGAGGACGCTCGACAAGAGCTGGGAGGCGGGGTTAAAGAAAACGCTAGTGCGCATGCTCCAACTGGGCCCGTAATGCGGAAGATCCGGGTACTTTCATCTGAATTCCACACTCGGAAGTCGAACTTCTTTATACATCCTTGGTTTAACGAGATGTTTTGGCATAAAACGTATTAAAGGGAGTCGCAAACAGCAAAGGTTCCAAATCCTCATGTTTAGGAGTTTGCATAGAAACTCATGAACGGAAACCAAAATTTGGCAATTTCTCCCTTTTTTAATTAGTTATTTTAGATTTACACATAATATAATATTTCAAGTGAGCACTGTATTAGATTTTTAAATGTATTTGACTAATTTGAATTAAATTAAATAGCAGCAGATACAGAAATACTTTTTTTGTAATATATGGGCACACCAATAAACTACTCTACTGTAAAACATTAATCTGTTAAGTAGTGTTGTGTAGTTAATTTTGATGGGAAATTAATTTTCTATGGCACATGGGGTTTGCTAATTATTTATCTATTTATTTGTACTGTTCTCTAAGCACCTGAATTTCCCCACACTGTGGCTCATTTTATAAAAGGTAAAGTGACAATATTGATAATGACATTAGATATTTAGGATACTTCACTCCTATCTCGGGATAATCATTTTTATTTGATTTTAAGTAAAATACATAGGATTTGGCGGTTATTCTGACATATTCTGCTGGTCTACGTTTCTGATCTGCTGCTATCATTGGACCTCCAACAAACCTGGTTACAGATATTTGTAATCTATAAGAAATGTTTGTGGACGAGTTTGTAAAGTAAAGTTATTTAATATACTGTACTGTGAAACCTTGTTTGCTTGTAGAGTTGTGAGAGAAAGTCAGAAAACCTCAGTTTGTGGTTTCAGAATGAGAGTGGTATAATGCCGTTTATCTCCAGCAGGTGGTGGTAAAGCAAAAACAAAACACCACCACTACCGCAAAATCTGATAGTAGAAGAAGACGAAGAAGAAGAAGAAGGAAGGAGAACGTTTTCAACCCAGGGCCACACGACCTGCCAACGGATAGTTGCTAACATTTAAAAAAAGGTTACATAACTTCGAATTTTCTGATTGCATCTTAGCTCTAAGTGATCTGCCGAGAGGGAGGCGTCGAGAAGAGTCTCCTCAGGACCACATTTCCCGTGATATTTTGACTTTGGCACATCATTTCATCAATTTCAAAACGGTAACGTCAATGTTTGCTAACGAAGCTAGCTCGCTAGCCGCGGAAACGCTGTTAGCCATATTGGCTGTTAAATTTAGCGCTTGTTTTTACATTACTTGGACTACTGTAAACATCTTGGACCAACGGTATTTTAAATTGGATTATTAGTGACGTCATATATATATATATATATATATATGTTTACTGGTATTCATATAAGCAGTCTAGTGTATTAATAA